AAGTTCCACTCTGTCCTCTAGGGGCGCTGTGAGTCAGAATCAACTCCATGGCAGTGGGTGTGGTTTGGGCTTTGCTTCTGTGAAGACTGACAGCCTTGGAAACCCTGTGGGGCAGTTCCACTCTGTCCTCTAGGGGCGCTGTGAGTCAGAGTCACCTGGATGGCATCCAACACCTAGCTACAGAGGATGAAGAGCAAAGTGACTCAGAGGAATATTGCAGAGAAACACGCAGACTCTTGAAATCAGTGGTTCTTAACCTAGCTTGAGGGGGCAGGAGACAGGGAGGCTTTTAACAATCTGATGAAAGAATGGACCTTCTCAACCAACACACACACACACACACGCAGAGAGAACATTGCACACTGTGTCAGTGGGTTCATGAACTCGAGTCACATACTGCCCTCAATAGCCCACGTCAGTAATGCACTAACAAACGTTTCTATAATAGAAATTTTATTCCCATCCATAAAATAGATCACTAAATAGCTAAAAAAGTTACATATTGTTTTAAAACATAGATTTAGAAAATCATATTAGCTTCTTAGCAAAATGCTTTTGTTTTATGTATTTACAAGAATATACTCTCTTTCTGGTACATAGCACTGACACAGCCAGCCCAAGAAGGGGCTTCAAGGAAGTTAGCGGTCACCTCTTCCTGTCTCGCGTCAAGATGATTGGATTTTTCCAAAAGTCCCTGTGAAAACAAGAGTTGTTAGAGATAGTTCCTAGAGAAAGGTCCAGCAAAGCGGCAGTTGATACTAGGTTTTCTCTTGGTGAGGAAGGTAACCCCGTTTTGGAAATCTACAGCCTGCTTAAGGTAGGCGGACCGAGGGCGTCCTTAAGACTAATTCGCTTTTCTCTATGAATCTTCAACTTGAGCCTCTGGAGGGGGTTCTTCTGAGTTCAGCTCTTGGTTGTAAGGTTGCCTGTTTTGGTAGCTGGAAGGGCCTTCCGAGTAACGGCCGTCTACCATCTGATACATCTGAAGAGGAGAAAGAGACTCGTTACTGTCTGATCAACACTGCAGTGTCGCTGTGGTGGTGTTGTTGTTATGCGCCCTCGAGTCGGCCCCGACTCATAGCGACCCCTCCTTGGGTTTCCGAGGCGGTATCACTACGGGAGTAGATTGCCCAACCTTCCTTTCGAGGAGTGGCTGGTGGGTTTGAACTGCCAGCCTTCTGGTTAGCAGTCAAGTGCCTTAGGCACTATGCAACCAGAGCTCCTAAAAGAAGCTATAACCAGACAAAAATACATGTTTACAAATAAAAATAAAAACAAAATCCAAAACCAAACCCACTGCTGTGGAGTCAGATCTCACTCACAGTGACCCCTCCCCTCCTTGGGTTTC